GACCAGAAGCCTGGGATACCTCCTGTAACCTCTTTATCCTACTCAAGTCAACAGAAAACTATTGTTTCTTACCAACAGGAATTGCCAGATAGTAATCAGACTGAAAAGAATATGAATATTTCAGTTGTTCCTGGACCAACTGACCAAAAGTCTAGGATATCAACAGTACCATCTGGAATTTCTTTACAACAATATTTGCCAGATCATAGTGAAGAAGTTTTGAAAGTTTTAGGTGTTTTTAGACCTGCTGAACAGAACACTGGAATACAAATAGTAACCTCTACTCCTTACTCACATAAAGAGAAGCCCATTATTTCTTACCAGCAAGAGTTGCCAGATATTACTACAGAAGCATTGAAAGTTATAGGTGTTCCTAGACTTGCTGATGACATGTCTGGGATATACATAGTACCTTCTCCTGGCTACTCACAGAAAGAGGAACCTGTTATCTCTTACCAACCAGAGGTACCATCTCTCATTGAAGGAACTTTGAAAACAGGGGTTTCTGGACCTAAAGAGCTGAAGACTGGTATACAACTAATGACCGCTAGTCCCTACTCTCATACAGAGAAGCCCAGTGGTTTTTCTCAGCAGGAATTGCCAAAAATTAGTAAAGAAGCTGCTGATGCTTTGGTTTTTCCTGAAACAAGTGACCCCAATATTGGAGTACCAACAGTACCTGTATGTTACTACTCACACATAGAGAAGCCCATCGTTCTCTCTCAACCAGGGTTACCAGCCAGCCATCTCACTGAAGAGTCTCCGAAAGTTTCAGCAGTTTCTGTATCAGCAGAACAGAAGAAACCAACAGGACCTTCTAGCTCCTCTCAGAGAGAGAATCCCAGTGATTTTTACCAACAGACCTTGCCAGATGGTGATCTAACTGAAGGGTCTCTGAAGTCTTCAACAGCTCCTGGACCAACTGAGCAGAATAGGAGTCCTACAGTACCAAGTTCCTACTCTCATAAAGAGAAACTCAAGATTTCAACTGCAAATCTACTGGATGACCAGAAGACTGAGTTACCAACAGCTACCCATAGTTCCTACTTACAGAGAGAGAAGCCCAAGGTTTCAACTGTGATTGGATCAGATGACCAGAAGACTCCGTTGGCAGTTTTTCGTAGCTTCTATTCTCAAAAAGTAAAACCTGGCATTTTCTTTCAACAGCAGTTGCCACATAAAGAACAAAGTAAAAATATTTCAACTGTCCCCGAACCAACTGATGTAAAAACTGGGATACCAATACCTTTACCTAGTTCTCATTTACACCAAGAGAAAGCTAGTGTAATTTCTTTACAGGAATTGCCAGACAGACATTTACCTGAAGATGTGCTAAAGGTTTCAACAGCTCCTGAGCCAGTGGACCAGAAAACGGTGTTGCCAACAGCTTCTTCCAGTTCCTTTTCACATAAAGAAAAAGGGAATAGTTTCTATCAGAAGGATTTGCCAGATAGACATCAAACTGAAAATTCTCTGAAGGGCTCAAGTGGTCTTGGGAAAGCTGAGCAAATTACTGGATTACCTACAGTTTCCTCTGGTACTTACTCACATGACAAGAAGCAAGAACTTGTATCAGAACATGTCCAAAGACTAGCAGATAATTTGAATTCTGACTCCAATGTCTGCTCAAACAATATGCTTTTAAATTCTGAAACTGATGATGGAGTTATAATAAGTAAGCCAGAATCTCAGAGCTTTGGAGATGTTGTCTTTGAGGAAATCGGGGATTCAGACAACGGTTCCAAAACACTTAAAGAAATTCGGACTCTCTTAATGGAGGCAGAAAATATAGCTCTGAAACGATGCAATTTTTCTGCCCCCCTTGTCCCTTTCAGAGATGTTAATGATATTCCATTTGTACAATCGAAGAAGATGGTTTGCTTCAAAGAACCCTCCAAAACTGATGTAACTAATAATGAATTGTTGCAGAGACAAACATTTACAGAGGAAAGCCCAAGTATCAGATGTATACAGAAGGATATTGGCACACAGACAAATTTGAAATTCCAGAGAGGCATTGGAAATTGGGAGTTTATTAGTTCAACTACACTTAGAAGTCCTCTACAGGAAGCAGAAAGCAAACCCAGAGTGTCATTGGAGGGACCTTTTAGGCAGTATGAAGCAGCTAGATCTATGATGAGGTCTGAACCTGAAGGCTATAATGGAACCATTGGGAATAAGATGATTATACCTATGATGACTATCATAAAAAATGATTCAAGTAGTGATGTAAGTGATGGAAATGGTTCCTGCTCATGGGACAGTAATTTACCAGAGTCTTTGGAATCAGTTTCTGATGTTGTTCTAAACTTTCTTCCATGTGTTTCACCAAAGACAAGCATAACAGATAGCAGAGAGGAAGAGTGTGTGTCAGACAGTGAGGATGGTTATGATAGTGTAGACTCACTGGCTGCACATGTGAAAAACCTTCTGCAGTGTGAATCCTCATTGAATCACGCCAGACAAATACTTAAAAATGCAGAGGAAGAGGAAAGTCGGGTACGAGCACAAGGTAAGAGCTGATAATTTGTGATAGGCACACTTTGGTTTATAAACATTGTGGTTGATAATTTGTTTAAAATGAAGATATTCCTTATTTTTCTGTAGAATTTTTGATTGCTTAACATTTTCCACCAGCAATCCAGAAAAAAAATTTTAACAAATGAGGTAGCTAATTATAGCATTAATAACACTAATTTGAATCTATGGTCTTAAGAAAAGTGGATTCTGATGTCAGATAGGAAGTAAGAAAGTAGATTGGGCTTCCAAGTTCCTAAAGGTGTTATGTTTCCCCAGTCCTTCCATTGTAGTTTGTTTGTTTGTTTGTTTATTTATTGTCAGTCATGGGCTTGAACTCTGGGCCTGGGTGCTGTCCCCCTCAGCTCTTCAGCTCAAGGCTAAAGCTCTACTACTTGAGCCACAGTGCTACTTCAGTTTTTAGTGGTTTATTGGAGATAAGAGTCATGGATTTTCGTGCCCAGGTTGGCTTTGAACCTCAATCCTCAGATCTCAGCCTCCTGAGTAGCTAGGATTATAGGTATGAGTTACCAGCGCCTGGCTGTATGTTTATTTTTGAAGCAGAAAAAGTCTGCAGTTTACATTGCTGTGCATTATTTTGTGTCCTAAAATTATATATATATATATTTATTTTATTTTCTTTGCTAATAAAATTCTTGGAGCTGATCTTACACATTATGAAAAATAAAGACTAAGGTATTTTATACTATAGAATGGGTAAGGGATTTAAAAGAATTCATTTAGAAATACCATTAATTTTATTAATAGGTTCTCTTAACAGGGAAAGAAATAGCTGGGTATCATTGGCTCACTCTGGTAATCCTAGCTATTCAGGAGGCTGAAATCTGAGGATTATGGTTCAAAGCCAGCCTAGGCAGGAAAGTCCTTGAGGCTTTTATCTCTAGTTAAACACCAAGAAGATGGAAGTAGAGCTATAGCTCAAGTGGTAGAGTGCTAGCCTTGAGCACAAAAGCTCCATGGACAGTGCCCAGGCCTTGAATTCAAGCCCCAGGACTGGCACAAACAACAAAAAACAAAACCCAAACCAAAAACTTAAGCAAACAAGAAAGCAACAACTTTTAAGACATGTTGTTGGAAGGGTAACTAATAAGTAATCAGAAACTTGGGAATATTTGAGGTTAATTGTCTACACTCTTTCTTTTTCTTTTGGTTGGTTGTGGGGCTTGAACTCTGGGCTTTGAACACTGGTCCTGCATTCTTCAGCTCAAGGCAAGTACTCTACCACTTGGGCCACAGCACTACGTCCAGTTTTCTGGTGGCTAATTGGAGATGAGTCTCATTTTAAAAGAAGGGTGGGAAACGTTTGGTTCACAGACCATATAAGGCCATCTAAATCATTTGCTCTGGCTCTGCCATTTGGTTAGGTTCTGTCAAGGCCAACAGTAGGTGGCTTTAGTGACTCTCAGAGTTTTTATTTTTATTTTTGGTCGGTCATGGGGCTTCAACTCTGGGCCTGGGCGCTGTCCTTACGCTCTTCAGCTCAAGGTGAGCGCTCTACCGCTTGAGCCACAGCGCCACTTCTGGTTTTCTAGTGGTTTATTGGAGATAAGAGTCTCATGGTCTTTCCTGCCTGGGCTGGTTCTGAACCATGATCCTCAGATCCCAGCCTCCTGAGTAGCTAGGATTACAGGCATGAGCCACCGGCGCCTGGCTCTCAGAGTTTTTTTTAAAGCAAAATTTAGTAAATCTTAGGCTTACAAATGAGGTTACAAATATCAAAATGGCCCTTGACAAAAAAAAAAAGAAACTTACCTTCCATTTTAAAATATCAGCTTTGGCAAAGGCACTGGTGACACACGCCTGTTATTCTGTCTCCTCAGGATACTGATCTGAGGATCACAATTCAAAGCCAGCTCTGAGAGAAAAGTCCCTGTGACTCTTAATGTCCAATTAACCAGTAAAAAGCTAAAAGTAGAGTTGTGGCACAGATGACAGAGTGCCAGCTTTGAGTAAAAAAGCCAAGTTAGAGTGTTAGGATGTGTCTAGGCCTTAGTATTAGTACCCACTCCCAAAAGCTAGTTTTCATACAAGTGACAGTAACAGTCAATGACAGTAAAAGGAGGTTGAATTCTTAGAGACTCGCTTGATTGTAATGAAGGTTGAGATAAAACTGACTGAATACTTTTATTTAATGTGACCTTTTTGAATCTGTGAATCTTTTTTACTCTGTAACTTAGAAAATCACACTTTTGGGCTAAGCATAGTGGTACATACCTATAATCCATAGCATCATTGGAGAAGGCAAGGCAAGAGGATTACCTTCAAGAGACTATGTAGCTTAGACCACATCTCAAAAAAATCACACCTTTCTGTGAAATCATCCTTCAAGAATTTTGTCCTGTCATTGAGGGCACATTGGGATAGCTACTAAGTTGTATATGTTGATTTTCTTGGCTAGCATAATTATTGAAAAATGATTACTTTTACATTGTAGCTCAAGTGTTTCTATGCTTTCTCTCTAGCCTGGAAGCTAAAGTTGAATTTAGCACATGATTATGGATACCCCATTTCAGAATTAAATGAAGATGACAGAAGGAAAGTAGAAGAGATCAAAGCAAAATTGTTTTGTGAAGGGAGAACAGCCGACTTCTCAGAGGTATAAAGAAATCTAATAATGAAAGCAAAATGTAAAAGAAAGGGAGATGGAAATTGGATCTCTTACTTGATTTCTTATGATTCTAACTGCTGATGATTTTGGATCTTGGGCTAAAATGTTAGGAGTCTTAATTCTTCCAAGGTTAAGATTAAGGATTCTGGAAATGTTTATTGCAAATTCATCTAGAGAGAAAAATATAACTTATAAAAATAAGAATTTATTTACTTGTATGCTTGCAGGCTCCCGTGGCTCATGCCTGTAATACTAGCTATCCAGGAGGCTGAGATCTGAGGATTGTGATTCTAAGTTAGCCTTGGCAGAAAAGTCCATTAGTCTTAGACTACTCAGAAAAAGCTGGAAGTGGCGCTGTGGTTCAAGTGGTTAGATCACTAACCTTGAGCAAAAGAGCTCAGGGACAGTGCCTAGGCTTAGTTAAATCCCCAGGAATGATGCACACACGCACACAAGCACATACACACATTTTCCTGGGTGTCCCCTGCCCCCTTTGGGGTTTTCCCTCAGGGTCCTTGCATTCTCACTTGATTTCTTTTGCTCCTGGGTGGTACTCTGCCATTTGAACAACTCCAGTTCTAGTTTTTTGCTTATTAATTTGTGATGAGTCTCTTGGATTAGTCTTCTGCCTTGGCTGGCTCTGAACCTCAGTCTTCAAATCTCAGCCTCCTATGTAGCTAAGGTTATAGGTGGGAGCCACAGACATCTGCCCATTCTTAGTTTTTCTTATAGTTAACATGAAATGAAAGTGAAGGGGCTAGGAAGGTGGCTCGGTGGTAGAGCGCTTGCCTTGCATGCCTGAGGCCCTGGGTTCGATTCTTCTGCACTACATAAGCAAAAAAGAAAAAAGCCGGAAGTGGCGCTGTGATTCAAGTGGTAGAGCGCTAGCCTTGAGCTGAAGAGCTGAGGGACAGCGCCCAGGCCCAGAGTTCAGGCCCCAATGACCGAACCCCCCCCCCAAAAAAAGAAAGTGAAGCCTAGCTAATAACACACACACACACACACACACACACACACACACACACACACACACACACACACACACACACACACACCATCCATGTATGTATGTATATATACTTTATCTGTTTAAGAACAGTTATGTAAACTCCCGTGACCACACACACACACACACACACCATCCATGTATGTATGTATATATACTTTATCTGTTTAAGAACAGTTATGTAAACTCCCATGACCGAACCTCCCCCCCCCCAAAAAAAAGAAAGTGAAGCCTAGCTAATTTCACACACACACACACACACACACACACACACACACACACACACACACACACACACACACACACACACACACACACACACCATCCATCCATGTATGTATATATTTATACTTTATCTGTTTAAGAACAGTTATGTAAACTGGGTGTGGTGTTGTATACCTGTTATCCCAGCTATGCAAGAAGTATAAATAGAAGAACAACATTCAGACTGGGCCAGATATATACATAACAGCTTTTTTAAAAAAAGCAAAAGCAAACAAAAAATCCACAGAATTAAAGCAGAAATGAAAGAAGTTGGAGATGTGGCTCAAGTGGTAGTATATCTGCCTAGCAAACCTAAGACCTGAGTTCAGTACCGCCAAGTACTATCAACTGTTTTCTTGGGGGAAGGGGTTGGTCCTGGGGGTTGAACTCTGGGCTTGGCTCTGTTCTGTTTTTTTTTTTTTCCTCAAGGTTTGAACTCTTATCACTTGATCTACAATTCCACTTCTAGCTTTTTGGTGGTTAACTGGAGATAGGAGTCTTATGAATGGTGATCATCACATATCAGTCCCCTGAGTAGCTAGGTTTATAGGCTATGAGCCACTGGTGGCTGGCAGTTTCCCCTTTTTCTTTCAGTCCTGTGACTTGAACTCAGAGCTTGGGTACTGTGAGTTTTTTTGCTCAAAGCTAGCATTCTACCACTTGAGCCTCAGTCTTCATATATATATATACTTGAGCGACAGCTCTACTTCTGGTTTTTTGTTTGGGCTGGCTTTGAACTGCAGTCAGCACCTGGCAAGTGAGAACTTTCTAAAGCTAGTTAATGTGTATTTTTTTTTTTTGTCATGTTCCCATCATTGTTTTCTAGGAAGCCTTGATTTCTTTTTAGCAGAAACTGTTTAGATACTAAGATCTTGGTGTGATGTGATCTTATGAGGTCATTTCCTTTATGTCCTCTTAGTAGATAGTATGTATGAATGTAATTAAACACACACATATATACACACATTCTCCCTGTTCTCTTCTCCTTCCTCTTCTGTTCCCCCCTCTCCAGATGATAAATAAGTACTCAGAGTTACTCTGTTTTCTTTGAGATCACACCGACTCCTACATTGTCACGTTGAGGCCAAGCTTCCAACACCCTTGGTGGATACACATTGTTATTTTATATTCCTATTAGCAATGTATAAGTGACCCACTATTATTCCACATCTTCACCAACATTGATATTATCATTATTTTTCATATTAGCTATCCTGGCAGTTACATGGGTGATACCACATCTGGGTTTTAATTTATATATATTTGTTAGTGATTTTACACTTTGCTTCTTTATATCCTTATTTTGCATTGATTTTTATCCTGTTTAATGAATTATCTATGCTTTGCCTATTTCCTATTTAGATTGCCATTTTCTTCCACTGTTGTATATTTAGTCTGTTTGCAGTGGTGAGGTTTGAATTTTGAGCCTCGCATATGTTAGGGAAGCACTCTGTGACACTCTTATTTCCATTTAACCACAAAAAAGCCAGAAAGTGGAACTGTGCAGTCCTTGAAGAGAAAGATTAGTGATCTTGTCCAGGCCCTGAGTTCAAGCCTTAGGACCATCACACATACACACAATGAAAATCAAGTCTTGGGCTCCTGAGATGTGTTACTTCATTTTATCCTGTTGTTTTTTTTTTGAACTCTGTCTTGGGTGCTGTCCCTCTGTGCTCTTTAGCTCAAGGTGAGTGTTCTACCACTTGAGCCACAGCACCACTTCCAGTTTTCTGGTGGTTAATTGGAGGTAAGAGTCTCACGGACTTTTCTGCCTGGGCTGGCTTTTGAACTGTGATCCTCAGATCTCAGCCTCCTGAGTGCTGACTAGTGCCTGACTTATTTTTTCCTTTTTTAATCTTTTAAGTTGTACAAGGGGATTTCAATTTTATTTTGCTTTCTTTGTATGTGTGTTTAAAAAACTTGTTAGCCAGGTGCTGGTGGCTCATGCCTGTAATCCTAGCTACTCAGGAGGCTGAGATCTGAGGATCACAGTTCAAAGCCAGCCCCGACAGGAAAGTTTGGAGACTCTTGCCTCCAATTAACCACTAGAAAAATGGAAGTTGTGCAGTGACTGAAGTGGTGGTACAGTGTTAGCTTTGAGCTGAAGAGTGCAGGGACAGCGCCCAGGCCCAAAGTTCAAGACCGATGACCGACAAACAACAACAACAAAAACAACCTTGGGGGTTGGCTGGTTGCAGGTGGCTCATGCCTTAATCCTATAGCTACTCAGGAGGTTGAGATCTGAGGACCCCAGATCAAAACTAGCCTGGGCAGGGAAGTCCATGAGACACTTATCTCCAGTTATCCACCAAAAAGCCAGAAGTAGAGCTGTAGCTTAAATGCTAGAGCAATAGCCTTGAGTTAAAAAAAAAAAAAAAAAAAGCTCAGGGACAGTGCCTAATCCTTGAATTCAAGCACTAGGACATGCACTAAAAGAAAAAGAAAAAAGAAAACAATAACAAACCTTGAGGATCTACTTCATGCCTTTAATATCTTGTCATTTGTTCTGCCTCTGCCCATACAGTTCTCCTTTTATAGCTCATACCTTTACTGTTCTTCATTGTTGTTGTTGTTGTTTTAAAACCTAGTTTTTGTTAGAGATTTGGCTGTGCCTATTGTTCCTGTGTTTGCTGGACTCTTCAACTTTGGATATTTGAGATGAAAAGAAAATCCAGAGGTGTCATCACCATATCATTCTCCAAGTTCTAAAATCTGTAGCCAGTCTTCTTGCCTTCTCTATATGTTCTGTATTGGTTTCCTCTGTAATGACCAGAGGATTTAGTTTTATATAGGAAGACTAGGAAAAACTATATCTTCATCAAGTGAAAAATACATAAAAGTTTAAAATTTTTGTATGAAATAAAATTTCTATATCATCAAATAGAATGCTAAAGTATAACACATTTAGAGATAAAATACAGAAACTGACTCTATGCCCTAGGAAAAGGCACTAATTCTTTTTCCTGTTTTGGGGGAATAAAACAGTGGGTTGTAGATTAAGCCTCTGCAGTAGAGAGCCAAAAATAAATAGAAATTAGTTTTGAATGGTCCAAATAAAGCAGAATTCTCTTTATGTCCTAGTCTAGGCTTGAAAAGTGAGCTCTGTTCCTTGAAATCATCCAAAGGTCCATGTTGGCTGGACAACTAAACTATCCTTACCCATGACTCCATGGTTGTTCTTGGCATCAGCATTTTCAGGTGACAAGAGTAATTGTGATGGATCATAATGAAGCCCATTATTCTGTAAATTAAAAAAACATTAAAAGGAGTAAACTGGTAGTACAGGTGGTAGGAGGAGAACATGGAGGACAAGAATTGGACTTTAAGGACAAGAAGCTGAAGCTAACTATTAATGATTTTTGCTCCTATTCTATTAGACTAAAGTTGGTCATATGATCACAATTAGCCCCAAAGGAAGAAAATATATACAATTTCGTGGTTATGTGGCCAACAAAAGTTTGGTGAGTTAACTAAATAGAAGAAAGTTAAAACTGTGCTGGAGGACAAAAACAATAGTTTTTGTTCTGATACTTTGCTAGAAAATTGTAGAACTTTACTAAATGGTTTTAGTAGTTAGTAGAGTGTAATTGTCATTTCTTGCTGTTTTTGACCTGCCAAAGGTGAATAAATGATCTTCATGGTCAGATTTTAGTACGAAGAGAGAACTGATTTGTATAGTATAACTGTTTGAACTACTTTAGGTAAAAATCTATTTGTATCTTCTTGGGTTTACAGAGTCCACGAGGAATAGGATGTCCACCTGAGTCTGTATGCAGTCACATTATTATTGAGAGCCATGAAAAAGGATGTTTCAGGACTGTGTCTACTCAACCACCACAAGTGAACAGCCACCCTTGTGTTTCTAGATCTGTTGAACCCTCAGAAGTGATAAGAGGACGACGGAGCCCAGCACCCTGGAGAAACAGACACATCAACTTTTCTAAATCACTAGATCAGAACAACCCCCATCTCAAAGTTTGGAATTCCTTGCAGTTACAAAGTCATCCCCCTTTTCAAAACCTTATGCATGATGACTTCAAAATTAGCAAGAGTTTTGGAGTGCCATTCCGTGAAAACATAGATCCTTGGTTGTCAGAGATAGAACCAGCTTTTGTGCCACCTAAGGAAGTGGATTTTCATTCTTCACCACAAATACTGCCCTCAGAACCCATGAAACAGAAACAGTTTACTACTTCCATCACTTTTTCATCTCACCGACATTCTAAATGCATTTCAGATTCCTCTGTTTTTAAGGTTGGTGTTACTCAAGGTAGCCAGTATACTGGAGCACCTGTGGGGGTATTTAATTCACATGTCATTGAAGAGCAAATTTCTCCTAGAGATCTTAAACAGAAAGCCTCTTCCCCTTCATCAATTAAAAAACTTAGTTATTTACCAGATAGAGAAATGACTATTTTAGCAGAAGGGAGTAGGCAAAGCCAAACATTACCTGTTGATTCTGAGCATTCTCACCAAGAAGAAAAACTCTTAGAAAGATCAGGTTTTAAAGTCAGTCATTCTGAGCCCAGAAATGGTACCAATTCCAAGGAAGTTCAGCTTTCTGATAACAATACTCTAATTAGCATGGACAGACCGAGTTCCACATTAGGAGTAAAAGAGAAGAATGTAATTATAACTCCAGATCTTCCTTCGCACATTTTTCTTGAACAACGAGAGCTCTTTGAACAAAGTAAATCTCCACATACAGATCACTCTGTGAGAAAACACCATTCTCCCCCTTGTCTAAACCTTCCTCCTTGCATTTTTCTTGAACAAAAAGAACTCTATGAACAAAGCAAAGTCCCACATGTAGATCATGAGATGAGAAAAAGCCATACTCCCCTTCCTCAATGTCAGGATTCTGTAGCTTCAGACCTTCATTCTCCTATTTGTTTTGAACAACATCAGAGCAAAGCCCCAGGTGTAGATGCCCACCATTTCCTTTTTTCGCAAGGTCAGGATTGTGTGGTAGAAAAGACTCAACATAGACCTAACTCACCCATTTCTAATTTGATAAATGTTGAAGCCAAGTTCAATAATGTGATATCCCAGTCGGCCCCCGATTACTGTCAATTAGAAACATCTGCATCTACTCCACCATCAAATAGAAAAGCACTTTCATGTATTCGTATAACTCTTAGTCCCAAGACTCCTTCCAAGTTGGATAGTGGAACCTTAGATAAAAGGTTTCACCTATTGGATCCTGCTTCTAAAACAAGGATGAATAGTGAGTTTAATCGTGACCTACAATATAAATCTTCGGAATCATTGGAAGCAACCTCCAAATTATTGACCAGTAAACCTCTAGCACAGGATCAAGAATATGTAGGTTTTCTAGGACCTAAAACTCCTCCGGACTTGCAAGCTGTACAATCTCCTTTTCCAGATAGTAAGACTATTATTCAGGACTTGAAAAACTTACCTTCTCAGAATAGCCAGATAGTTACCTCAAGGCAAACACAAGTGAACATTTCAGATTTGGAAGGATATTCCAAACCAGAGGAGACTCCAGTATCAGCAGATGGGTGAGTCTCTTTGTGATAACCAGCAAGCTGATGAAATTTGTGAAGGGTTTAAATATTTAAGCAAATGTAAGTGCTTGGGGAAAATGCAGTGCAATTTTTCTTAAGGGAGGTTATATCTGCTAATATGTAGAAGTCTTTCAAGAAATATGTAAATAAGAGCATATGAAGGTACTATATGCTGTCAAAGGCTTTTTTTCAAGATAATAGCAAGTGTTGTAAGGAACTGAATTACTGTATAATCTTTGATCATTCAATGGTACTAATGATTCACTAATTGATTTTATGTTGGAAAATGTCCTGAAGATTTCCTTTGAAGGGTTGCATGTTGTCTTAGTTGTGTCTTCACATCACTGTGATCAAATATCTGACAACGTAAGGGAAGAAAGACTTATTATGGCTCTTGGTTTTTAGAGGGTCCAGTCCATGGTTGCTTGACCCTATGGACTTATGTACATCATCATAGCTACTGGAGCATGTGGTAGAAGAGGGTTAATCTCCTAAGTATTTTTTAATCCAGTCAAGTTGAACTCGCCATTACATGTGTGTGCATGCTTTTTTTGTGTGTGAATCTCTCCTGCTTTCTCTCCCTCTTAATTTTATTTCATAATTTTTCTAAAATGTTTAGTATTTATAAGGAAGACAAAGGCAGCTTTATAGTGGGGAATCCTGGCAGATAACTACTTTAGCCATATGTTAATTTAGCATCACTAGTATCACTAATGCATATCATCATAATTTCTTTCTGATATGCCCACCTCAAATTGTATTACAGGGAATGAAACCAAACTTAGCAATAAATGTATTAAACTGATCTTATTTAGGCTACTTTTAACACTTTGTTATTTAATGACAAAGTTTAATGAGTTTTATTGTGGCTTGTTGTTTGTATCTTATGGTTTAAAAGCAACATACCACAATGAAAAGAACCCTGGACTTGGAAAGGGCAAAAATTCTTATATCTGCTATGGTAGTTGATGGCCATAAAACTTAAATATCCTATTCCATTTAGTCTACATGACAATCCTGTGAAGTTAGTGCTAATATTTCTATTTATTCACTAGGAAACTGAAATTGGCATGGGCTACTTGTACTGAGTGAGTCTGTAAGAAAAAAGAGGGGATAATCCAATGTTTAATCAAAGCAAAAACTTGCTTTCTTATATAATACTACTATCTCTCTCACAATTATGAACACTACTCCTGACATTTTTAGCCACAATCTTGGACAACTTAACTAAATCTCATACTCCTGTGTGAGAATGGTGGAAGGAAAATGAACATCAGTCTTGTTTCAGGATTAAAAATGGTAGGAGACTCTAGAACTCAGTGCTGATGATTTTTAAAATGTTTAAAAATTAGAAAGTCAACAAATTTTGTACAATATTGAAATCTTTCAAAGTTTAAATGCCAACTTACTGGAACTGAATTCCTCAAAAACTGATAAAGCAGCCAGGTGATGATGAGTCACATCTGTTATCATAGCTATTCAGGAGGCTGAGATTCCAAGAATTGCAGTTCAAAGCCAGACTGGGCAGAAAAGTCTGTGAGACTCCAAAATAGCTAGAGAAAAGCCAGGATGGAATATATATATAGTTCAGATAGTTGAGAGACAGACAAGCAAGGTGTACAAGCACATGGCCCTGAGTTCAAATCCAGGTACCAAGAAAATAAGAAAAAAAAAATAGATAAAGTTAGGAATGAAAAGAAAATAATAGATGATTATAAATATTATAAAAATGAACCTAATAGCAATGCCATTTGCTTAGAATGTATTAAATGCCAGGCATGATGAATACTTATATTTCTTTATATTTAGTATAATCATTGGGAATAGATAGGATTGCCTCAATTTTAGATTTTTTTTAAAACATAAGACATAAGAGAATTTAAGGTTTTTAGATCACACATGGCCATTTCATGGATTTGAACCTGGGTTTGTCAGACTGTGTATGTATAGTTCTACTTTTTGAGGACCTTCTATACTGGTTTCTGTAGTGGCTGGATTAATTTACATCAACAAGTATAAGGGTTCCCCCGCCCCTTTTTTTTTTTTTTTTTTTTTTGCTGGTGTTAGGGCTTGAACTCAGGGCCTAGGTACTGTTGCTGAGCTTTTTGTTCAGGTTAGCACTTCACCACTTGAGCCACAGCTTCACTTGAGGCTTTTTTTGGTAATTATTTGGAGATAAGAATCTCATGGGCTTTCCTGCTTGCTGGCATTGATATATAGGTCCTCAGATCTCAGTCTTCTAGATAGCTAGGATTACAGGCATGAGCCTCCAGCTCCCAGTTTGAGTTTCATTTTTAAAAGTCTAGTAAAATTTTGTAGTGAATCCATCCATTCTTGGGATTTCTTTGTTGGGAAACTTACTGCTTCAGTGTCTAATTATTAGGTATCTGCTTAAGTTGTTTATATCTTCTTGGTTCAAGTTTGGTAGGTCATATGGTCATCTGTATCTAGAAATCTACATTGTTTTCTAGATTTTTTTAGTTCATTAAAAATGTCTTTCTGATAATCTGGATCTCATTGTTGTCTGTTGTAACATCACCCATTTCCTCTCTAATTTCATTAACTTTGTTCTCTTGATTCTTCTAACTAGGAATTAGACAATCTGTTCATAACTTCTTGTTTTATTCTTTGTTGTGATTTTTTTTAGGATTCCATTTTATTAGTTTCTGTCCTGATCTTTATCTTTTCAACCTACCAATTTTTAATTTGGTTGTTTTTGTTTACCTATGAGGTGCATCTGCTGGATTATCTGTTTGAGATCTTTGATTTTTTTTTTTAATATAGGTGCTTATTGCTATAAACTTGCCTCTTAGAACTGCCTTTGTTTTATCTGGCAGGTTCTGGTATGTTGTATTTTTGTTTTCATTTGATTCTAGGAATTTTATAATTGCCTTCCAGATTTATTCAATATTGGTTATTTAAAAGTATATCATTCATAGACTGGGCATTGGTGGGTCATGCACCTGAAATCCTAGCTACTGAGGAGGCTGAGATCTCATCATGGTTTGAAGCCATGAGCAAGAAAAGCATATTGAACTCTTATCTCTAATTAGCCAGCAAAACCCCCAGAAGCAGAGCTCTGGCTCAAGTGGTAGAATGCTAGCCTTGAGTGAAAAAGCTGAGAGATAATGTTTAGACTAGGCCCTGAGTTCAAGCCCCGGTACTGGTGTGTACACACAAATGTATAGTGTTCAATCTCCCTGTGTTTGTATACTTGTCTTAGATAACAACTTCAGTTTTTTTTTGTATTAACAAATACAAATTCTCTTCATCTCCATTTATTTCTCTTCTCACTAAACTCACATCCCAAATGATCTTTTTTACATTGCTGTCATTCATTGTTTAAAATTATATGCTAATTGTTCAAAAGAGTTTTACATTTCACAATGCATATATACATGCTTTAATCAAACAGATCCTCTTATGCAATTTCTTCATCTCCCGACCTTGTTATTCAATAGTATTCAGTGGATTTCATTCTGCTATTTTCATTTCAGATGATATATTTTGATATTTTTGTATGCTTGTCTCTGAGGCTTGAATTCATGGTCTGGGTTCGCCCCTTAGCTTTTTCACTCAAGATTAGTGCTGGACTCTTTGAGCCAAAGCTCCATTCTGGCATGTTGGTCATTTATTGTAAATAATGGTTTTACAGGCTTTCCTGCCTGGACTGGGTTTGAACTTCACTCCTTAGATCTCAGACTCCTAAGTAGCTAGGATTGCAGATTATTGGCACCCAGCTATTTGATATTTTTCACATTCTTAACATCTGCAATCCCTGCAGATAGTCCCACAATTACAAACATATTCTCCCTTTATGTGTATCTATGCGTGTTTGTATGTGTATGTATGTTTGCATGTATGTTTTATCTTTTAGACCTAGTATCCACATAGGAGAGAAAACATGTGACTTGTGTCCTGAACCTGGCTTACTTTCCTTAACATGATGAGAATTCCATCTATTTTCCTGAAAACCAAATTTTTTCTTTTTTTTTTCTTTTCTTTTTTTCTTTGGGTCCGGTCGTGGGACCTGAACTCTGGGCCTGGGTGCTGTCCCTCAGCAATTCAGCTCAAGACTAGCGCTCTACCACTTGAGCCACAGCGCCACTTCGGCTTTTTTCTTTTTGCTTATGTGGTGCTGAGGAATCGAACCCAGGGCCTCATGCATGCAAGGCAAGCGCTCTACCACTGAGCCACCTTCCCAGCCCTGAATTTTTTCTTTATGGCTAAAAATTATTCCATTTTGTGTGTGTGTTGGTGGTGGTGGAGTGCTATTTTGGGCTGTGTCCACAGCTTAGATACTGTGAAAAGTGCTGCAATAAATGGGTATGCATGTGCCTGTATTATATCTTGACTTACATTTCTTTGGATATATGCCCAAGACTGATATCACTAGATCATATAGTAGTTCTGTTTAGTTTTCTAAAAAACCTCCATACTGATTTCCATAGTGGCTAATAACAAAGGTTTCTTTTTTCCTGAATTGTTTCCTGCATTTGCTGTATGTGTTGCTTATGAAAGTCATTTTGACTGGAATGACATGAGATTTCAGTATTGTTTTTGATACAGATTTCTTTAAGGCTAAGGATGTTGAACATTGCTTCATGTGTTTACTGACCATTTGTAGTTTGGAGAAGTGTCTGTTCAGTTTATTGGCTTATATGTCAATTGTGTTGTTGATTCCTGGTGAGTTTAGTTTTTTGAGCTCCCTGTATAGTCTGGTTATTATTCCCTTTTGATGTATAGCAAAAATTTTCTGTCTTTTCAGTCCAGTGACTGCAGAAGCTTTTCAGTTTGATGCAATCCCATTTGTCAGTCTTTGCTTTTCTTTGCTGAGCAATTCAGCAAATTCAGTTCTGTTCAGGAAGTTACTACCAATAAGTTGTATTTTGTGTTCTTGTAGTAGTTTCAAAGGCTCAGGTCTTACATTAAAATACTTAATCCACTTTGATTTGACATTAGAACAGGATAAGAGATAGAAATCTAGTTTCAGT